TTATTGATACTGAATTATATATAAAATTATAAATTAAATTTAATAGAAAATAAATAAAATGTATTATGTAAAATAAGAATTACATAATATGAATAATAAAAATCATAAGAATAATATAATAAAGGAGTTCTTTTATTTATTATAATATATTTAATTATAATATTTTTAATATAAAAAAATATATTTTTAATTATTTGTTTAATTTATTATTTTTTTGTTTTATTAAATAAAATAGCTTCATATTGATCTTAAGCATAAATTTATATAAAATATCATTATATACATGCTGTTTAATTTTTTAAGATAAGAGTATATATATATATATATATATCTTAAAAAGAAAATTAAAATACCAAGAATCAATAAGATGTATATCGAAAAAATTGATACTCTATTGCAAGAATTTTCGAACATTCTTCTCAATATATACCATTTTTATAAATACCTTAGAAATCTATAATATTGGTACTGAATGCAGACTTACATCATCGAATAATTTACCGCCATCTACCGTTTTTTTTTAAAATTAATTTGAATAATAAATTCATTGAAATACAATATACAAATTAATAATTAAATTAATAATTATGAATGCAAACATGATAAAAGGAATTGAATAAAATATTTCAAAAAGAGAAAACAACTTTTTTTTACAAATAAAAGCATGTATTGGATGTATTTTTTTAATATAATGTATCGGTATGGTATGTTTTATTTTACAAAGATATTCTTTTCTTTATCAAATTTTATATATGCTCCATATAAATTTGCCTTTAAGATCGGTATCACTACTACATTGATAACGACAGCTTCAGTTCCTTCATAAATTAAAATTTATTCTTATAATTTAGATCGAAAAAAAAATAATATTTTATAATTTCAAATTGGATCTAACTAATATTATGAATTTTTCTTTTAATAAATTTATCGATATGAATTAAATTATTAGCTATTTATAAAATAAATAAAGAAAAAAATTATTTTTGTTCAATATTTAGTAAATAAATATAATATATTTTTCTTATTTTCTTATTTTTAAGAGAATATGTTTTCACAAATTTTGATAATTAAATTGTATTTTTATCAATTTAAAAATAAATAAATAATTATTATTTAAAAAAATCTTTATTTTTTAATTATTGTGAATAAAAATAATAAACCAGTATTAATAATTCATTTATCATTTTGAGAAATTGTTAAATAAATATTATTACATCAATTGCAGAAAGACAAAATTTTAACGGTTAAAATTAAAAATAAAATTACCTTAAATTTTAACATTTAAGTTATTATTTAAAATAACTTTTTCGAAATCTTAATTAGTTATTTTTTCAGATTATTATTATTCAGATTATTATTACAATTCTAAATTATATAAAATACAAGTTAAATTAAGAGCATTGATTGGTAACTATAAATTTTTCTGCTCATTTCATTTATTTTGATCGTTTTTATTATTTATTTACATACTATTTATATATATATTATATAGAATTTATAATAATAATTTAGATAATAATAGAATTATATATATATTATGAGAAAGAGAATTCATACCTTAACTTTTTTATTCTAATAAACTCTTAACTTTCATTTTGACTTTTACTTATTCTTCAATAATAATTTAAATATAAAATTTTAACTTATACTAATTATTAATTGTCGAAATATTAATAAAAATGTTTCAATGTTAAACATTGAATGCTGTTTTTATATATCCATGATAATGATGTGTTAATACATAGCATCACTGCTTATTTACTGTTTCTATAAATATATCATGACAATTGATTATCAATACTTAAAATGTATTGTAATAATAATGAATTCATAAATAATGAATAGTTTTAATATCATCATTATTAATTTTTGTTCATAATGAATTTGAATATTTTACGAATTCTTCAGATTGAATACAAAGATAAAATATAAAACAATTCTTACCGCAAAATTGTAATAACTGAAATTATGATAATCAAACATCAATTACGATATTAATTTTATACTTACAATTTAGTGATCAATTTAATATCTATCGTTATATTTCATAATTTAATATTGATAACAAAGGAATTGAAATTCTGAACAACTGCAGAAACAATAAAAAGCGAAGACGATGCTGCCTGTAGATTGACGGAAGACTATGTGAGACAATATCGTAATTAAAAAAATCAAAATTAATAAAAAAACAAATATTATAAATAACATCATATTGCATTGCAATAGTGATGGAATTTGGAACATTTGGAACACATCGCTTTGAATCTTCGAAATGACAAATGAAATTCGAATCATATTGAATTTAATTTGAAGTTTAAAAAATTTCGAAAAATAAAATTTTGTGGAAATCTTGATTATCTTTGGAATCTTGGAAATTTTAATTATATTTCTAAATAATAAATGAATAAAAAATATCGATTTTTATTATATTTACAAATATATTTAAAAAAAAATTTTTTTAATATTTTTATCAATTGAATTATACAATATTATCCTTCCTCTGTAAAATCAACTTTAATTTATTATCATAGGATTTTTTTTCCAAAATAAATCGTTTTGAAGTGATAAATCAAAATTGATGTTACAGAAGAAAAATAGTATCAAAAAGGATGTAGTTGACAAAAATATTAAAAAAAATTACTTTCTTTGAAATATGTCCATAAATTTATCAAAAATTGATATCTTTTTTTCCATTTTCCATGCAAAAATATATAAGAAATCTTTCCATTTTTAAATAATAAAAATTCGTTGATGTGTTTTATAATATTTATACTATTATTTCGTCGCATCTATTTTTTATTTAAATAAATCAAATTTATAGAAAAAAATTTCAATCTACGAATTTTACATTATTTGCAAGGAAAATTCCAATTCAATCAATATTAAAGAATTAATAATATTAATAACATTAATCCCTTAATATCGCAGATTGAATTGGAATTTTCTTTTCATGATGAAGAGATTTTACGCAACTGTATGAAACTCTCAGTTTTTTTTTTTTTTTTTTACTTAGAATCACTAGGACGTATAGATATATATCGTATAGACTGTTATTTCACATGTCATCAGTCTTTATATACATCGTATAGATTACCATCTCTTACGTACCGTCCAATTACTCTGTGGGTTAACTAGATAGATCCTAGTAATCATCTTTCCAGCTTTGCATAGTATATTAAGTTTTTTTTTTTTTAAACAGAAATTTATCTTGAAATAAAAGATTTCTCGTACAATTTATTTCTGACATAAAACTTTATATTTAAATACTTGTTGATATTAATTTAATGAAGAGATATAATAAAAGAAATTAAATCCAGTATACAGTACGGTATATAGAGAACGAGGGAATAAAAAATTACAGTGACGCATAGAAGATGACGGAGTGTAAAGAAACGACAAACTATGTATATAGGACGCATAGAGGATGATGTTAAAGGATTGAAAAAATGCACAAAGTAATGGTAGCAAAAAGCCTCGAAAAATACCGAAAATCATAGTGTATGAATATTTAAAATCAAAAATAAAATCAAAATATTATCATTTTGTTCAAAATTGTTATAAAATTTACTCTTATAATTTCACGTTATTAAATACAATAAAAGAAACAAGTTGAAACAATAACAAAAACAATGTTTTTTTTCTATTCTATAAAGTAAAGACAATTTTTATCTTAAATACATCTTACGGTTTGAACAATAGTTTCAATATACGGGCGTAGATAAAAAGACAAAAAAGAAAAAAAATACTTATTTTGCTAATTAATGAGCGACGAATCAATTTGAAATATAATTGAATCATTGAACGCATTGGAGATAGTAAAATCACGAAGCAATGCAATTCGGTTGCAACGTCGAATGAAAATCATTTTTACTGCATGTCATGACAAATAAATACGAATATCCATCGAACGATATTGGCGAATACATGAATGATTGCTGATCGTTCATCGACACATTTGTCATTTATCCCAGAGCGTAAATTTAAGAGGTGTCAGAGATTCTACGAAAAGTTTTGCGCCCATCTGTTTTTTTCACGAAAAAAAAACCAATTATCAGTTAAAATTATTTATGGCGATAATGAAAAATGTTTTCCAAAGTCGTGAATGCTAAATTGGTCTATTCAAAAAGATATCGTAACCTGTAATGAAAGAAAGATGGTGATTTATCGAACGTGGATACGTATTTGCAAACGAAAACCAAGTCGATAGATTCTTCGGTTGGTGAAATTTTATTGGAATCGCGACACTTGGAAAAATTTCAAGCATTGGAATATCCGTGCAGACACGGAGTCAGGGATGGGTATCGACGATGTCGAGACACGAGAACGCTTTTCCGGTGACACGTAAATAAAAGTTCGAGAGGAAGGTAAAGCGGTTGGAAATAGAACTAGATTAGGATGCGGTGATTTGAAGGGGAGAACAATTGATATGTTGAAAATATT